TTTAGGTATGCCTGGTGCTTCTCCTGACATACCCTCCTGAACTCTTTGAACCAGGGTCAGTCTCCTGGCTTGATGGTTAATGGCATTGATGATGTCGAACTGTGAGGTACATATTGAGGTTGAATATAATTCTACTGCTGATCACCCTCAGTGCCTCTTTGGTGCCTAGTCTATAGATCTGTTTGAACTCTTCCAGTTAGCACTGTGGTAATACCACACAGTACTGAGAGTCTCATCCATGCAAAGACTTCATTCACACCACCTAGGCCTTGAGATTATGCTGGTGTTGCCTAGGATACTTGCACAGTATGATTTAGTGAATGTGACGATGTTTGTGACGCGTGGCACGTGCTCTCTCTGTGCTCCGGCTCTGTTGTGGGCCTAGAATCACATGTAAACTATACCAGGTAAAGATGAGATGCTTTCTCCTCAAGGAAATGAGTGAACTTTTCATTATCACGGTCAGCAATAACATTGTCACCTTTTTAGACTAGCTTATTTTGTTTTTTTATTGACTTCAAATTTCACATCTAGGCTGGATTCAAGCCCATTACCCCACAGCTTTAGCTTATGGCTGTCAGCACCACTGTATGCTACCACTCCCCATCAAGATCAACAAAACAAGATAAATGGGTCTTTCTTGGGTTGGCAAGATGTGACTAGTAGGGGACCACTGGATTTGGTCCTGGGTGCCCCAACTTTATATAATCTGTTTATGACTTGGATGAGGGGCTAGAAAGTACTATAGCCAACTTTGCAGATGACACTAAAATAGATTGGAGATAAATGTATTTCATTACAACTTACAAATGGATATGATTAGATTATGTGAATGGGCCAAAGGTTTAACATGGATAATTGTGAGCTTTTCCATTTTGGTTGGAGAGATAAAAAGGTAACTTATTATCTAAATGAAGAGAAACTTCAGAGTGCTTCAGTGTAGGGAGATCAATGTGTCCTTGTGTGTGAATCACAGAAAATCAGTATGCGGGTAACAAGGAAAGCAAATGGAAGCTTGACCTTTTATTGCAAAAGGAATTGGTTATAAAAGTAAGGAAGTGTTGCTGCATTTGTATAATGTATGAGTGAGACTGCAGCTGGAGTATTGCAAACACTTTTGGACCCCTTACTTGAGGAATGTAATTTTAATGGCAGCCGTTCACAGGAGGTTCACTAGATTAGATTCCAGAGATCAAGTGTTTGTCTTGAAAGATTGAGCAGTTTAGAAGAATGAGATAAGATCTGATTGAGGTATATAGAAGACTAAAGGGGAATGACAAAGTAGACACAAGATATTTACTCATGGGCCAGCCTAAAACAGGAGGTCATAATTTTAAAATGAGGGATAGCAATTTAAAACAGACGAGGAGAAATTACTTCTCTCAAAGTATAATGAATCTGCAGAATTCACTACTGTGTGGTGGATGCTGGGACATTGAGAAAATAATGGAGATAGACAGACAGATTTTTAATTTGTAATGGGTTGAAGGGATATGGGCAGTTAGCAGAAAAGTGGTGATCAGCCATAATTGTATTAAATGGCAGAACAGGCTTGAGGGACTGAATTTTCTACTTCTACTTCTAGTTCTTATGTATTCCAATAGGAGTCAATCTGCTCTGCATTCCTAATTTTACCCTGAATTTCTAGGCCTTTTTGTGGTACTTTGTCTTTTGAAGGTCCTCACTTCCTCAGGTTGGGTTTGGTCAGTTGGGACAGTGCCCTTTGTTTTAAAAAAAAATAAAAAATTGTTCCTATTATGTAGGAACAATGACTCTCCAATTCGCAGTACAAACAGAATCTGTTAAATTAATTAATCAACAATTACATCTGCCTGTCTCCTAACATCACGTTTGTTTAATTCTCCTTGATTCTATTAATAACCTGGGATGGAGTCCATACATCCTGTGGCAATTTACTTTCAAAAATGCTAAACCCCTTTTGGTATTATCTGTCTAGTTGTCTCCTCCAACACTTCATGCTCCTCCTTAACTACATTGTCAGCATAGTGTCCCTCTTGTGTGATGACACATTTAAGTATTTAAGAAATGTGATTTTTGAGTTTTTGGGGAGTCTGTTTACAACTGGTGCTCACTATGTATGTTTGTTTGATTTTGTTAAGCCTGAGTCGGGCTTTGCAGAGTTTTGAAAAATCTTTTTTTCTAGAAAGAGCTGGAAAAGTGGAGCAGGAGCAGAAGCACAAAGGCTATTTAAAGCACTATAAATATGCAAAATCTATTCAATACATTAAAAAGTAGTGTTAACCCAGCACTGATCCCAGATGTGAAATATACAAAGTGACAAGCACGTTGAAGAAATGTTTAAATTTGCTAATTCCTATGCCATTCCCTTTTACTGGGAGAACAATCCATGCCTTGACGTCAATAGATTTAAGTGTTCACTTGCTCTAGGGATGGCAAATATTCTAGCAACTCACAGAAATGTTTGGCATTCTATTTTGAGGGGGCTGTAGATGTTGTGTATGTGCAAGGCAAAGATTTTTAATTGGGATGGGTGGGGGGGGAGGTGGAGGATAGCAGGAACACAGAAGTATTAGGTAAAATTGGTGATGCTGATGAATTTCAGCCATGATTTTATTGAATGATCGAACAGCTCCAGGTGGGCAGGCCAAATGATCTAATCCTCTTGTTTCTTTTAGGTGTAGCCAGTTTAGGAGCTTGTATTCTCAAAGATATGTTTGACCCCACCTAAACTAACTTTGAAAGAAGAGTTGTTTAATTTATTACCTATTTGATTGTGTTTTTTAAAAAATATAGCAGTTTTGTGTCAGATGTTTTGAATTTTACTGCACAAAAAGATTGTACCACCTTTGCCAAGGGGATCATTAAGAGTACTGCACCTGGAATTTGAGGTTAGTTAGCCACATTTTGAAATAAATAGCTCCAGTGATCTACCCAAATATAATTTCTTTTCAACCAATCCAGTTCGTATGCAGCATGTCCAGTAAGATGGCATCATTCACCAAGATAAACAAGGCAATCGCCTGAAAAAATTCCTACTTTTGGTAAACCTCCTTGCCGTTGTACTAAAATATTTTATTGGCGTATTACAAAGAGTGGGGTAACTGTTAAATAACTTCAAACTTCCCCTGTTATATCTGAAACAGCCCTGATCAAAACTATGGTTTAGGTAGAGAAATATATAACGAAAAGAAAAGTTTAGTGTTTTTGAGGGTTGGGGGGGTTGAATGCAGTTTACTGAAACTTTTTCAACTTGCACACATCAGAAAAATTCTCGAGGATAGGAATTCATGAGAGAAGAGTAATGAATGTTTGGCATGTTGGTGCTGATTGTGAAGGACGTTGCTGTGGAAAAAGCACCAATAAATGACAGTTAACTGCCAGGCATTTGTTTAAATTTTTAAACCAGGCAGGTTGACTCTGATCAAGGCATTTTATCCTGAGAAATGAACCAGTGAACACTTGTCACTTTTTTCTCTTTTGTTTTTAAACTGGTACAGTTATGTAAATGTTCCTTCTGTCAGCAAAGAATAGGGCCCTGAGTATTAATATGTAACTTCCTCTCCATGCGACTGCACAGTGGTGCACTGAAATTTGTATCCTTTGAATTGTCCTGATGAATGCAAGATGAGAAAGCTTCAATAAAAGTATAGTACTGTCAAAGAAAATAAGAGTATGGTGTAATTTTATGTACGTTGCTGCTTCGCCTTTTCCTAGTTAGATATTCCTTAACTCCCTGCCAAAAAAATGAAGTTGCTGTATTGGTAGTTCTCCCTTTTTATAATGCTGTGTCATTAGCAAATTTAACCAAAAGCATGAGGTGCTGAAAATAGGCTAATTGACCTGAAAATTCAAGTTAATGTTTAAAATAGCACAAGAATGTTAACTGCTGTCATCTTCATGTCTGATGCTCAATGGAAATTTAAAAAACAAAATTCCAACAAGTTAGATTTCTGCTGTCAGTAAATCCTTATTAATTTGCTACAATGAGCTGATTCCAGCATTATAATCCGTGGAGAATCTTCATTTATGGATCTTGCCATGGTCCAAAAGGGACCATGTAGCAATCTGTTGACTAAACAGACATTTTTGCCATGTTTTGTTTTTTTTTTCTTTCAACTATCTCTATTGCTCACCTGCAACTTCCATTACTGTTGCATGTCTAATTTCTTTTTGTGCTGGTTCTCAAAGCAACCATGTAAGAGTCCTTTACTCCGTTTTGAATGTTGTTTTATATTTAATTTTACAATCCCATAACCAGTTGATTAAGCTGCAAGATGGTTAGGTTCAGCTTCTGTTAGCTGTGTAAGTGTTATTCAATTTACAGAACCTCTTATTGTGTGGGACATTACTTGAATGAAACTTAGCATTTCTTAGGTAATAGAACAGTTTTTTTTTTTTGAAACTGTCTCCATATAATCATTTGACAGAGTATTTTCAGCTTTATTACTTCTGTGATCAAACATACCTACTCTGCAATCAGTCAGCGTAAGCAAAAAGTTTATTTTAATTAGTTTGAAATAATCACCTAGAGGTTGGTTGGAAAGGGTAGTGAGTCAACTCCACAGGAAAAACAAGAAAATCTAAAATTAGCAGCTCTGTTGATATTTACAGGCAACCTACCAGTACACTTAACTAAAATAAAAACAAAAAAACAGGTAAAATTTAGCAGATCAGACAGCATTTCTGGAGAGGATAAAGTTGACATTCTTGGTTGATTATTTTTCTTCAGAACCCTGTTTCTCTGAGATGCTGTCTGACGTGCTGGGTTTCTTCAGTTTTTTTTTTGGCTCTGGCTGCAAAGTGTGAAAATCTGAAATATTTTGCTTTGGTATTAGTACTGTAAACTTTGAATATAATTTCATTTTTTAAATTACACTTGCAAATGTTAATACTTCAATCATTAATGTGTAAGTTGTCATAATAAAACAGCACTGACCTTTACTATATGTACACTTTTTAAAAAAGAACTTGAATTCTTGCTTATAGATGTGTTGTCTTGATTGTCCTTCCATTTTAAGGAGGCACCATCAAAGATTTGTGACTTGCATGTAGATGTTTCTCGAATTCTTGAACTAGAAGAGCAAGTGGTGGATGAACATCGAGAAATTCAACAGGTACTAATTACAGATCTTTTTCCACCCAACTCAGAATTTTGACTTGTTCCTCAGCTTTGTATGGCAGGTGACTGAGTGATTGGCATAATGAGGATCCCAGGTTTGATCCCCAGTATATGCTGTCTCCAAGTGCTGTTCTACGAAAGGACATTAATGCCCATAAGACTTGTGTGTTGGTCTGTGATTATGCTTGGCAAGATACTGCAGTGGTTTGCTGTTGCCTCATAAGGTGGCTGGCAGGGCTTTATCTCCAGCTCACTCTGGAACAAAACTGTACAACACGGAACAGGCCCTTTTGGTCCACCAAGATTGTGCCAACACATGTCTGTTTAAACCTTAAACTATTGCCTGCCTATTCATATATCTGTCAAGATGCCTCTTAAACATTGCTAATTTCATAAGCTTGGGCTGCCCCCTCATCCTTCTTCCAAGTTAAAATAAACATTCTGTCCTCTGCTAATACCCTGCAAAGCAGGCAACATCCTGGTAAACCATTTCTGTACGCTCTCAAGTCTCCATCCTTCTGGTAGTGCAGCAACCAGAACTGTACACAATATTCTAAATATGGCCTAACTGAAATTCTATACAGCTGCAACATGACTTGACATTTTTTTATACTCTGTCCCAACTGATTTGAAGGTAAGCATGCCATACGCCACCTTGACCACTTTTATCCACTCGTGTTGCCACTTTCCGGGAACTTTGGACCTGTATGCCTTGATGCTTCTAAGGGTTCTGCCACTTGAGGAATGCTTCTCCTGCATTAGATGTCCCAAAATGCATCACCCCTCATTGTTCGGATTAAACTCCACCTGCCATTTCTCTGCTCAATTCTCTAGCCTATCACTTTCTGCTGTACCCTCTGGCAATCCTCTTCACTATCTGCAACTTCCCCAGTCCTCCAAAGAACTTGTCAGTAGACTATATATTATATATACACATATACATCTCTACATTTCCTTCTCGGTGTGCTGCCAGACTTGCTGAACTTCTCCAACGTTTTCTGGGTTTTTAAAGAACTTTTTTAATGAACTTTATAATACAGCTCTAGAGCAACTGGGGCAAAGAGATCTAGGGGTTCAGGTGGGAAGTCATTTTGAAAGTTGCTTCACAGGTAGACGGGGTGGTAAAGAAGGCACTTTGGCATGCTTGCCTTCATTGCTCAGACCACTTAAGTGTAGGAGTTGGGACATCATCCTACAGTTGTAGGACAATGGTTAGGCCACTTTTGGAGTACTGTGTACAGTTCTGGTTACCCTGCTATTGGAAGGATATTAAATTGGAGAGAGTTCAGAAAAGATTAACCAGGATGTTTCTGGGAGTGGAGGGTTTGAGTTGTCGTGAGAGATTGGATAGGCTGGGACTATCTTGGAACAAAGGAGGTTCAGGCCTGATCTTAGAAATTTATAAAATCATGAGGGGCATAAATAAGGTGAATAGCAAAGTCTTTTCCCTAGGATAGGGGAGTTCAAAACTAGAAAGTATAGTTTAAGGTGAGAGAAAGATTTAAAAGGGACCTCAGGGCAATTTTTTCACAAAGGGTGGTTTATATTTGGAATGAACTGCCAGAGGAAGTAATGGATGCAAGTTCAGTTACAACATTTAAGACATTTGGACAGGTGCACAAACAGCAAATGTTCAGAAGAATATGGGCCAAACGCAGGCAAATGGGAATAGTTTAGTTTCGGGAAACCTAGTTGGCATGGATGAGTTGGACCAAACGTTTGTGCTGTATGACTGATTTTGTTTCTTGGGTATTTAGGTGATTACATAAATCGAGTATAAACTAGTATGTGGTGAAAATTAGATTAGGCTTTGGTTATCTATCCTTTGCTTTTTTACCACACCACACTACAGGAATACCAGCTTCTTTAAGATTATCCAACAGATACTCAGTCAAGTCTGTTGTAAAAATGGACAAGATGCCACAAAATGTTAACTCTGCTTTATTGCCACAGGTCCTGGCACACCTACTGAGCTTCTCCAGCAGTTTCTGTTATTGGCTTTATTTCAAATTTCCAGCATCCACACTTCTTTGTTTTATTTTAATAAGCCACATAGCAATGTGTGCTCATTGCTGAGTCCAGCATGTGAGGTGGGGAGGAAATTGTGCAATAACAGATGTGAAATTTTGGCTGCCTGCTTTTAAAGAATTTCACTTAAGCTTTTTGAAAGATGACAGTTTGAACCTAGGAGATTTAAAAGCCGCAATTAGATTTTTTTTTTTTTCAACCTGAGCTCTGCCAGATATGAGTGCTTAAATGTTTGTGCCAATTTTGCCTCTCTGTAAACTAGCGATCACTGCAAGTGATCATGCGTCACTTTTAAATACATAGGAAAAGTGAGTTGTTTTGTTTTACAGAAACTGCTATTGTGGAGTGATGCAGATGATAAACTCCTGAAGATGACTCAGCTACCTGACTATAACGTTGAGAATTATACCAACATATTACAAACCTACATTGATGAGAGGATGGAAATATTTCAAGATTTTAACAGTATGTTTTTAAAATTTATATCTTCATTGGATAATGGAGGTGTATTATGAACTGAAGCTTATCTGCCTGTGCAAAGACAAATGGCAGGATTAAACATTTTTGTTACTTCTAGTGTTGTTTCAATTGTACTTTGCTCTTGTCTCAATGTCCCCAACCCCAAATTACCTGGCGGGCAGTAAATTGTTTCTAAATAGAATAGAGAGACCTGTGATGAAATTGCTCATGGGCAATAGCAAATCATTTTACACTGCACCTGTGAGAAGAAAATCAAGCATAAGAGGCAGCTGCTTCTACTGATGGTGTTTTTTTTTTTTCTGTTACTGTCTAAGATGAGTTTCACCCATCACACCCTGTCCTAAAAACTTGTGTTATAAGCAATTCTGGAGCAATAAGCAAATTCTTCACTTTCACTCCTGAGGTGGTTCTTCAAGAGTATTGGTTTTTTTTAAATGTATGCTTTTTCAATTTGATATGTGCTTGACCATATACAAACCAGATAAATCTTTATTGATTGATCCTAAATTACACAAGTTTACAATTAAATCAAAGTTCATGAATGAAATAGTTGCATGTTCTGCCATTGATCTTGAAGTTCTGGTTAGGATTGCAGCTGTTGTGCTTTTGGAGACCGAAACTGCAATCAGCTCTTTTCCAGGGTGGATGCAATGGCATTTGAAATTCATTTTATTTTTAAGTACTCTATCTCTGTATTCCAACAGTAACAAAGATCAAGTCCCAGTTTGAGAATTGTAGAGTGTGTGGGAGAGAGGTATTATTTTCTGCAAGGTTTTTTTTTTTTTTTTTTTAAGTTACTGCTTTCTTGTAACAAAATGATGAGTTTATTATGGCTTCCCCAGGAGTGGAAGGATTGTTCAGTGAAAACTGTTGTTGACCCCCATTTGGGGACAATCCATTTTTGAGGGTTCTGATGATCCATTGTCAGAATTTCCCATTATCCATTTTGATAAAGTTGCAATCCTTCTCTTCGCATAAGTAGTTTTAGATTCTTTGTTCCAGCAATATCTGTGCTCAAATATGTTATGTTTGAGATCTGTGAGAGATTATGCATATTTAACACAGTAAAATGCAATAGTGTGATGCTTTGGGTCATTTTTAAAGCTGCTTATTATTGATGAGCAGTGTAATCACCATATCAGCATTAGCTTGTGGTCCAAGCACTGAGCCAAAGTAATTGTTTGCAAAATGTTGCACTAAAGCTTGTATCAGCAATGAAGCAGTACAGTAAGAGCTCAAAGCCACTAAGTAAATCGACACCTTTGCTCCTTTTATCCTCATTTGATACTCCAGAATTTGCTTGTGACCCCATACATGAATATAGGATGAATATTTTTATTTTATTTAGAATATTTAATGAATAATTAAATTGACCAGCAAGTACCCTAGTTAATACCCTATACTTTAGCTTATTGCCTAAGGTAGCCTGTGTTGACCTTTCATGGTTATGGAGTTAGTTGCTGAGTTTTTAAAAGTTTAAAAAAAAAACTAACTTAATGGTATTCAATTAGTAGTTATTTTGGGTTAAATTGCTATTTAAATACAAGTGATTTGGGAAGATCATCAGATCATGCATTGTGATTTTTTTAAACTGCTTCTGTCATGGACGGAATCAAAGCTGGCTTGTAATTTAATCATGTTGTACCATTCCAATAATTTGTTACTCATGTAGATATTAGATCTGTTGCAGTCTTTATGTTAATACTTTTTTTCTCTTTGTCCTGCAGAAAACCTGAAAGCGTTGAGACAAGCTTTGCAGAGGGAGGAACAAGCTGCCAAAACTCAAGGCTGAAAAGTCGTCACCAATTTGTATCTGAAATTTGTTAGTGCTTGCATTGTAACTGTCATTTGCCCAGGGGCCACAAAGTGTGCATGTGTTCCTCTTTACTGTTTCTGTCCTTATGATTCTCTTTCAAAAACTTTGTCTATATGAATTTTCTTAAATGTTTTCTCTTGAATTGTACAGATTTATATCTAGTATGCTTGAACTGACTTTATGACACATAACTAAAGGTGGAAGTATGCAGACATAGCAGTGCAGGCTTGATTAGTTCTTTTTGAGATGCATTGATTTCTCTAACCCATTCCTCCAATTGCTTGTGAAGAAATTACCTTATTTAAAAAGAATTTTTATTATGTACTATGATGGAATTGCTGTGCACCCTTGCCCTCTTTCATCATCCTCTCCCAAAATGTTCCAAGAGACCAATTTTATTATGTTGGTATTGTGGAACTGTATTTAAAACATACAAGGTTTTCTAAGTTTAACAATCAGACCTTTTTTATAATTATTTCAATAGGATACACTGCCTACTTTTCTTTCTGAATTTAATGAATAGTGGGTTTTGAATTCTCCTCCATTAATAATCAATTTTCAGACCAAGGTCCAATTCACTATGCACATTTAAATACTACCATTCTGTATTTAACTAACTTGGTCTTCCTTTGTTACACTACTGAAATTTTGAATTATTGATGGACTTTGTTAGGTTTATAAACCAGCTGCCAGGATATTGTAACTCTTGCCTTGTACTACAAGGCAAAAAATCAAGCCCTTGGTGTTATCTGTACTGACTGATGTAAAATATGGCAATCTGATATTTTGAATTGTTCTACTGTGAAGGCAAAGTAAGCTCCTTTGCTGAAAATTTGCTTAACTCGTAAGTGAAAGCATTTCATTCACTTTTTAAATTCTATGTTTAGAAATGGAGTAGAAGGAAATGCATCAATAGAGATTTTTTGATTCTGAAAAATCCTTTTTATGTAAAAAGAAATTAGTTGTTCAAGTACTGAATTAAGGTTTTCTTCGTCTATCCCTAAATGATTGCAGTACTGAAGTTGAAAAGTCAATCCCAGGATGTTTGGGGCACTGAGATGCATTGAATTGAAGAATCATCATTATATTGTAATATTTCACATTTAATAAAGAAATCAAATGCCATGCAAACTGGTTGATCTTTTTTTATAATTTGTAAATCATAACATTTTCAAATAAGTGCTGAGCAAAGAATTTATTTTTAATTTTAAAGATAGATTTAGCAAACTGTTTAACACCAATCTTGTTGATTTCTGCTTTTTATTAAATCTTTTGAGGTAATCAAATGTTAACTGAACTTAAGAATCTGGGTGAGCCTTTTTTTTTTTAATCTTGCTGGTTTGAAATTAGTAAGAAGTCTTTTTTTTTTAATCATTTTCACAGGATGTGGTGTCACTGGCACAGCCAGTATTTATTGTCCATCCCTAATTGCCTTTTAACTGAGTGACTTGCTAGGCTATTTCAGAAGGCAGATGAGACACAGCAATTTGGTTGACTCTTCAATTACATGGAGTCAGACCAGGTAAGGAAGGTAAAGTTCCTCCTTCAATTGAAGGAAAAAGGACAGTGATTTACCAATGATCATTTGTTATAAGCACCATTGCTAAAGACTGAGACTAGCTTTATAAGTCTAGATCAATTAACTGAATTTATTTCATCAGCTCCCATAATGGGATTTGAACCTTTTTGTGCACAGAGCATTACCAGTCCAATGATATTATTACTATACCACAATCTGCTATATCTTAATGAAAGGTAGCCTCATTTGTATCAGATATCTTGGAAGATATGCAGTAAAAATATTGCTTTCCCAATTCTTGCAGATTAATTTCTGGATTTTTTAAAAAAAATTAGCCAATGCATGTAGACTGCATCCTGTATATAGAATTACATTACTTGCAACAATCTGACAGGTGAGTGGTCATGACTGCTTCATGTGGTATATTTTTCAACAAAGGTAGAAAACTAGTAAAGATCAATGTAATAGTTCAAACTAAGAAGCAGGTCAGTAACTGCAAGCACATGTGATTTACATCAGGCACTCCAGCCCATTGAGCAGCAGCACAGCTAGTTTCTGAAATGGGCAGTAACTTGTTTTTGCAGCAAATTCCATTACTCTACATTAAGACATTTTGCAAACAACCTCTTTTTAGAATCACTTTTTATAAGGTAAGCAATTTGCCACTTTCATTTGAAGGGCAAGAGAATTTTAGATAATTTGAGTCAGTGGATGGATTGAGGAACAGCAAAGATCATGCTAGCAAATACCCTTGTAGCAAAGTATTTCTTTGTGCTTACTGTGCATTGACTTGCAGCTAAAATCTGTACTCTTTGGTATATCGTACTGAATCACTGTGTTTACATCCAGCTCAGTCATGACTTGTTGAAAGGATATCCAAGCAAGAGATCATTCAACCCCTCTAGGTCTCTGCACCACTTTATTTCTTGGCTGAACATCTTCCTCAATGCTGTCCTCTTGTGCTATCCCTATATCTCCTGATAAATTTCTGCTTAGTAATTACATCAATCTCTCTCCACTTAATGACTGAGCTTTCACAGTCCTTGGGGGTAAGAATTCCAACAATTTGCCAACCTCTGAAGACATTCTGCTTCATTTCAGTCCTAAAAAGTCTCAATGAAAAGACAATCTCACTCTTCTTGGTTCTAGACACTACAATCAAGGGGAAACCATCTTTCTGCATTACTCAGTCTATTCCTATAAGAATTTTGCAAGTTTTTGAAACTGCCCATCATTCTTCTAAACTCCAAATAATATAGGTCCAGTTCCCTTTATAGGACAATTCTACCATCCCAGTGCTCCATCTGATGAACCTCTGCTGTACTACCTCTATGGCAAGTCTCTCCTCCCATCAGCAAGGGGAACTGGAATTGTGCACAATACTCCAAGTCTCATTAGTGTTCTAGGCAAAATGACTGCTCCTATACTCATCCTCTTGTAATAAAGGCTAATGTACTATTTGCTTCTGAATTGCTTGTTGCACCTCCATGCAATTTTTCTGCGACTGATGACTGGCCCTGGATGTAACTGGTGAGCGGTCAGAATGTTGTTTAAGAAAATGCTCCACTTTTGTGAGATCATCTATTTTGGCAGGAGGAACAATTATCCATATTCTGTTCCTTTTGCCTTGCGCTTGCCAACATATCTAGGAGAGCTACTACATCATCTATCTAGGTTCACTCAATGATTAATGAGAGGTCTGTCCACATTTTGAACCAAACTGCAACTATGGGTGCCTTTAGAAGCAAAAGATTATATTTGTTGCTGTTAGTTAATAGTGTGACCTGTGTTCTGCAGCAGTGCTCCTTCTCTACATGCCCTTCTACCACCCAGCCTAAAGTTTACACATCTCTAGCATCTTTTTGGTTTTTTTTTTTCTTTCCTCTGCTCTACAATTAGTAAATGTTTTCATTTCAGGCTCTAGAAATTTCATCTCCTGTGGTGTCCCACCTAACTTATTTTGATTTCCCTCTTAAGGGAGGATTCCAAATTAACACCACTGTCATTTCTCATGATTTCTTCTGCTTTTTGTTTTACTACATTCACTTTTTTGTTTTCAACATTTTCATTTGTAGTATCAACCTGACATGTCACTTGCACTTTTCCTACTTCATCTTACTCAATTGCTTTTTTGTCATCGAAGTGCCTTTCAATTGTTCTTTCTCCATTTCATTGAAGTCTAATGAAATTGTACCTGAACAATTCCCTCTTTAAAGATGGATCATTATTTTGCTAATTTTCCCTGGCAATGCAGTGATTTCATCAATATTGGCCCTCTTTTTCAATGTGTTTATTTGGGAGTGCTTGCATATTCTTTCTGACAACTAGTAGATATTTACTGGTACATGAGATAGTAGGAACTGCAGATGCTGGAGAATCCGAGACAACAAGGTGCAGGGCTGGATGAACACAGCAGGCCAAGCAGCATCATAGGAGCAGAGAGGCTGACGTTTCGGGCCTAGACCCTTCATCAGAAAAACTGATGAAGGGTCTAGGCCC